ATTGTAGCAGCCCTCCTTGGTTCTCTACCTTCCAATCAGTGTCAGTGTCTGGCCTGACGGGTGGCCTGAGGCCCAGGTAATGAAAGCCAGATGTTTTGGGGTTGTTTTTGGTTGAACTGCTGTCTTAATCCTACATAAACTTACTCCATCCCCTCATAATGCATCTTCCCTAGCTTTACATTTGTCAGATGTATACTCATCCTAACTCAAGTTAAAATGTACAGACTTTTTGAGAGTGTAACGCATGTTGAACCACGACCTCCATTATTGATTAACCAACTGATCATGTAGCAAGTGGGGAAAGAATCTTTTTCCTTACTTTTGCTAGATATGCTTGTGGTTAATAAGCCACAAGTGTGACACGAGTGGAGAAAATCCTGTGATGTTCTTCCGATGAACCTGTTTCTATTTTAGAACGACCTCTTTTATTAAATCACCCTTCCTCACTGTAGGCAATTTGTTTGCCCCTCCTCCATATTGGTTAACCTCCCTCATGACATCACAGGTCACAGGTCACAAACTGTGTGAGCATCTGCAACTCGTATGCGTCCCCTCACATGATAAACTCGTCACACGCTCTGTAGGGTTTTTGAAATGCAGGAAGCTCCAGGCTTTATTTACCTGGTAGAGCATGAGCGGCTCGATGCTGTAACCCAGCATCTCAGCGAACTCTCTTGCGATCACTGACTTGCCGCAACCCTAGAAAACACAAAAAGACCAGAGATCACATTCACCATGTGTTCTACATGTATGTTGATACAGCGATACTGTACGCAAGTCGTAGTATCAAGAACACACCATCATATGAATAATATATCATTACAAAAAACAAATAAAAGTGCAAAAAGGTTTCTTCAGGTTAACAAATTAAGTAAATAAAAAAATGTAAACAGGCAGTGAAACAACTGTTTATATCTATATATTTCAATAAAACTATTGTTTTTGTATAATTTGAAAATCAACCGGATCACAAACTAAATATTATCATAAACCCATTCTGTGCTGGTGTGTACCGTACATTCTGTGTTAGCTACCTTGGCTCCTATCAGACAAAAGTCCTTCACCATGTGTGACTGCATCATCTCCGCCATCAGCTGCGATTGGCTCGGTGTGCTGATGAATGTAGGGCTACTGTTGGGTGGCCGCGGCTCCTTGATGCCGGCTGGAACCTGTTTTAGAGAGACAACAAATTGCCGTGAAAGAGCAACAAACAGCTTCGCCGTCCTATAAAAAGCTGTGGGGAAATATCTAAATTATAAATCACAGACTTAATCGGCTTCACTGACACACGACTGGGAACAGAATATACTGCATGTTCCAAAAAACACAGTGTTATTAAACAATCCACGAGATATACAGCACTGCAAAGAATTACTGCTGCACGTAAAAGACAATGCCACTTCAAAAAGCGAGTGAGAGTTATAGGTTTTGTTTGGCTGGAGATCAGCACCACTATTCTTAGAGGTCTGGAATATCTCTGTTCCCCGAAACCGCACACAATGACTCATTCACAAACACTGATCCAAGAAGAACAAAAGACTGATGAAGACGTTCCTTTAAGACGTTGTACAGAGTATCCCGCAGACGCTACCGACGTGTCTGCATGGACATCTCTGTGAAATGTCTGAGACACTGTAGTTAGACAATAAAAAAGAAAAAATATGTATTTTTGATTTTGGGGTGAACTGTCCCTTTAAAGTCCAAATGCACAATCAGAATAAAGCGCCCCATCGTCCCACGTTGTAGTTCAGTCTACCAGGTCTGCATAACATATTGGGGCTTTGGCTCTACACTGCATACAGCCAGTCTGCTGGTACCTGAAAGGTGATGTCCTTGTCCGCGACACGTAACGAGACGTCTGCATGGCCCTCAGGATCCTTCGTCCTGGACACACTCAAAATGGCGCTGGGAGCTGGCTGATGACGACCATCCAAAAGCTCAAATCTCTATGAAAGAGTGCCACAGAATGCATTTAGGCCAAAATGAATCCCTTTGAATGATGCGTCTTATCTTAAGTTCAGGCCATAACAAACAGGTGATAGTTCGGTACATTTCGACTGGTGGGTCACATCTTGACTTACACTGAGAACGCCCTCCACGGCGGTGCGCCCATCCTTGCCCAGCATGCTGTTGTAGGGGTAAAGTCTCTGGACCAGCTGCTGGGAGGATAGCATGGGGAAAGCATTCTGCAACAACAACAGAAGACACTAGCACCCATGGACCAACAGAAGTCTAGTTTTCTCTTTAATCCTCAGCTCTTCTTCCTCCCTCTCTAAAAAGGGACAGTAAGGGAGATTTTGGTGGGCCTGGATTCTCACCAACACATGGAGGGCAGGAAGCAGGTTGTCCACAGGGAAGTCAGGAAGGCCAAGGTTGGATGATTCCTGGGAGCACAGCGTGGTGGCAAATGACAGCAGCTGGGACACCCTGACACAAAGAATACAACCGAATATTACACATGAACAATACTGAGACTTTAAGGACTAATATTAACAAGTCAAACACAGCTTCAGTAGTACTTTTAGTTCACCTTTCTGCAGCAATGTTTGGTCCGACTGTGTACAACAGCTCCAACTGGTCCTGAAAAGAAAACCATATGTCAAGATGAGTATAGCTGCAGGGCGACAATCTAAGGAGACCAGCAGCGAAAAATGTGAAATGTTCAGCAGTAATGTGTCTTTCTAGTATTTTGTCCCATTTTTACTGCATGAGCTGCCTGTGAAAATTTATAGGGAATGTTTTATTATTATTCAGGGTGAGGAAAATAGGATCACCGGGGAGAAGGAGCTGGATGATTCAGGCGCTTTTCTCTCATCATGGAGACATTTTGTTGATGGGAAATGGTTGGTGTTAGATAATTTTTGAATTCTTAGGACTGACCTTAAACGGGAGGTAATAGACATCTCTGGCCTGGAAGCGAGAGCGGAGAGGAGGATCCAAGGGGTTGCCCTTGTACTTGGGGACAGGAAGGCCAAGAGCGATGACCCGAAAGTCCTCACTGACACGGACTATCTTCCAGCTGTCCATCTCCTCTTTGGTGTGCTCCTGCAACGCACCGAGGTACAAAAAAACACTCTGATCCTCTTCTGCCGTCTATAACGTGCTGTCATTTTACATATTTCATCTTGAATGCAATTTTTATGCAAATGCTGCGGGTATCCAGCTTTATGTAACATGTACAGACACAGTATTCATGACAACATCGTTTTTTTCCCCTTTAAACACAAGGAGAGCACTGTAGGAGTAGTGTGAAAATTCACTGCTTAAGTGTGGAGATTGAGATAGATGAGGCTCAATACACTGCAGCCTCCAAAGGTACAGAGGAGTCTTCAGAAAGATTATCATTATGTTATCTGGAACATAACGGATCAACGGTGGGTGACGTATGTCGGCACATGTGCGGCTCTGACCTGCAGCAGCTTGTCGTAACGCTCAGCTGACATGAGGAAGCGTCCGTCCTCCAGCTGCATCTCCCTGTTCTCCAGCAGGTTGTTGAGGACGGGCAGAACATTCCTCTCTGCTTTCTCCAGCCCCTCCAGGACCAGGACCCGACCCTGCGTTGCTGCCCTTACGGCACACTGGGGGGGACACACACATCAGAAGCCGAGGCTCGTCATTAGACCCGATCAATACAACAGAAATAATTAGAGAGATGCGGGAGAAGATGCTGGTATCAGGAAAACAGCAATCAGTTGAACCGCAGGCCAAATCTGCTGCTCCATTGTCCAGCGAGACCTCTGACCCTTCCTGAATGTTAACAGTGCTAATAGCATTTATACAAAGAGCAATCTGACTGTGCATCAGTTCTTACTGCTCTAATGATAAAATGACCTCGCCGTGAAGCCCTTCCTGAGGATGTCCTCAGCTTATTGTGTTCAGAACATCCTCCAAACCAAACTCCCAAAAAAAGTCTGAGCCGTTTTCGGAAGGCCTATTTTCTACCACCGACTGTGGGAGAAGAAACGTAGTTCTACTTGGTTAAGTTTCAACAGCATGTGTGTGTGTGTGTGTGTGCATTTGTTTTGCGTAGACACACAGTTCTGCAGAAATCAAAAAGCACGTCTGACGTCAAGAGGCAGGAAACGTTAGCTGTCTGGGTGCACCGCAGAGCAAGTGGCCATATAATTAGGTTAACATGTAAATACGTGGCAGGTTGTGTGGGAAGCAGAGCCATATAACTATAGTGAGGGCCAGATGCTCTATATTTAACTCTTGATCCATTTTCGGCACCAACTCTATAATCAGATAATTGTTAAAAATGTAAGTGACGCAGGATGGTAAGCGAGACTGCGTGAGGGGAGCACAGATAGGCCTTGTTCTCTGCCTGAAATGGAGATTAGATTATAGATAGTTGCATAAATAGAATAATGAAAGGATTAGGAGCATGAATATGAAGAGTGAAAGGTCTACAGTGATGTGTAAAGGCCATTGTCATTCCATAAGGCCCTGCACCCAATGCACCTCATGTACAGCATGTATGCACAAATCAGCTTCTGTGGAACTGGAACGCTTTTTTCCAAACTCGTTGCCGGTAAAACATGGACTAAGTGTCCATGTCAACAATAGGGTTCTGATGAGCCGTTCTGAAGCACTAGAGGCACTGAGCTCGCTGGTTTCAGGTCAGATGCAGCTCTTTTTATAACTGTAGCGGGGTCTTATTTGCAGTGTGGGTTTGAGGTAAGCTGCCTTACATACTGTAAGAGCCTCCTAACTGGAGAGAGGTGACTGGAGATGTCAAAAATACAACAAGCATGTGATTACAGCCACGTGACTTCCAGCCTTCATGCTAAAAGAAAGAGAAAGAATTAAAGAGACGAGAGTGAAGTGGAGGAACGAGAGGGGAGGAGAGTAAGCACAGGGGCCGACACGTTAAGACTGAATTTAGGGCTCCAAACCAGCACAGGGCCCCGAGGAATACTGTGATGTTCCAGTTAACACACAAACACCTCCTACGACACCCAAACCATTCTCAAACAGAACCGCTTGCTAATTTGCACACACACACACACACACACACACACACACACACACACACAGTTTCAAATACTGTAATGTGTACATTTACTGACTAATCCCACAGGCGCATACTAATATACACAAAACACAAAGTCTTATCCAATACACCAACTCATTAAAAAGAAAAGCACGTGCCAACAATCCATTGGATTTGAGGAAGACCAGAATCAAGCGAACCCTTCACAGCTATCAGCGCCGCCGGTAATGCTGTCTATTCATGAGCTGTTTCCTTGGAAACAATGGACACCTGCTTTCGTTTGGATGAGACGGTGGGAGGCTGAGGATCCCCAGGGAGCTGAAGGGATTGGCTGGTTTTCCCTTTGCCGCAGGAAACAGAAAAGAGGTATCGACCAGCCTTGGTCAATATATTACTATTACTATCACTGAGGGGACGGACGGGAAACAATTCAATCACTCAGAGCGATTGGAACCTGGGATACACCTTCACTGATGTCTGATATCGGGCCGATGCAGACTCTAATAGCTGGGTCGAGTATCGGTGAGGATGGAGCCAGGAGGACGAGCCGCTAGTGATAACACAGCCGAGTACATCTCCGAGTGTTTTGGACAGTGTGTTCTGCTATCAGCTAACAGATCTACCAGTGCATACCCTGCTGAGTACATCACCATTATTCAGCTGCAAGATTGTATGAAAAGGTCTGATATGATGACTTTGATTGCCTGCATACATCACAGCTGGTGTTCCAATTCAAATCAATGTTATTCGTGTAGCCCAATATCACAAATCTGCCTCTTAGTGCTTTACAATCTGTATAACATACGACATCTTCTGTCATTGGACCCTCGCATCGGAAAAACACTTTAACAGAGAAAGAGAAAAGAAGCTGAGGAAGGATCTCTCTACCATGATGGCCAGACGTGCAATAGATGTCAACCCGTATGATATAAATGATATATATATATATATATATATATATATATATAATCATATACATCTATTTTGAGGTTGAATGAAGTGTGTTTTACAATGCTTTACAGCCCATTGGTTGCATGGATCACTATTTATTGCTTCGCTCACTTTTGTTGGTTTGGCTAACAGAACTACCAGCTGTACCTCTCCGCAAGTCAGCCGCTGCTAAGCGGGCAGACGGTAACACGGTAAGACAGTAAGACAGTAAGACAGTAAGACAGGTAATATATGCTGCTGCAACAACAGCTGCATTTGCTTCTCTTCACAAAAGGTGTCATTGCATGAAAAACACAGCTGCTGCTCCGGACATCAAGAATGTCACTTTTAATTTCCTGTAACCTCTCCACTGTCACCGTCTAATAAAGGCAAGTCGAATGTATGCAGAGTGAGCTATTGAGCATCAACAAGAGTAAATACTGTGTTTGTCTAACGTGATGCCAGTCAAACGTTCCTCTGTTGTTACTTGACACCTGAACATCGTCGGCTCCACGTGTTGAAAAGCAGAATTAATGTTTTCCTGTTGAGCGAAGATCGTCGCTGACATTTCATTCTCAAAACATGCGAAACAATCGATAGGTAGTGTGGAGCGGATGATTCAGACAATCACACATGTAGATAGAAGTGAATCGGTAGTGAAACTACAACAGGTTTCTATTATTTTGCTATATTTTAACACAATTATGCAATCAAGGTGTCTTATTGTGTGGTGCCTCCACAATGACACCACCTTCCACAGAATAGACTGCAGATAGAACACATGTTTCCCTGTCCTACGAGGCCTATTCATGGATTTGACTGTAATGTACTTTCAGTCTCATGAACTGTGTGTCCCTTTCCTTAAGAAGAAGAAACACTGTTTTGATCACAGACAAAAGATGTCATTATTTTATATATATATATATATATATATATATATATATAAAAAATGGTAATACAGGCAATTACATTCAACAAAAAAGGCATCCGTGTTTTTCTTGAAAATGTGGAGTGCCAGTGCTTTCCCCTTATGGAACCCTACCATTCATTTTAGTAAATGGAATATCACGATGAGTCACACAACTATCAAATTAGAGAAATCAGCGAGAGCCGAACAAAACTGCCGCATCAGCAGGGTGACGGCCCTAATGCTTAATCTCGTTTGCACATAAAAAGGCCGTTTTACTTTCTATTAGATCACAGAACCACTCACAGAAGTGACGGCTGAGGTGCAGTGCTGGTTAAACGCAACTATACGCAGTACAGATACAGTATGTCAGCAGAGTATACTTACTTCCACTGAGAAATCTTTACATATTCATATACAGGGTTTAATGCGTGATCGGGCAGGTGGTAATAGATTTTTTTTTTCCCCGAGGTGATGATCTAAGTAGCCAAGGAGTGAGCCATATCGCTTCCTTCTCATCTCTGTTGATAGTTGCACATGCACAGTACCCAACAGGCACTCGTGAGGAAATCTGGTAAACACAAAGTTTATGAGCTGAAGCACGAGCGACATTTCCATTGTTCTGGAAACAGGAGTTGGGTGTGGGTAGAGAATGTGGGCAAAACTCAAGATTCATTTACTTAAAAAGGTTCCAGCCTAATTATGAAAACATTTGCTAGTTATCTGAGCGTTTCCCTGCTCCAGGAGACGAGGTTTAAGAGTAGAGTCTGAAGGATAAATGTGCAGAGAATACATTCTGAAAAAAGTCAGCCTGTTTCCATGGAGTGTACATTTGAGCTGTTATGCATCTTGTTTATTTTTACACAAAAGAAGTCATGTGCTAATTAGCTGTAGATAATGACATGACTGAGTTAATTATCATCATTCGTCACTGCTGGCTCCTTGAAGCCCGATAACAGGCTTTAACGATCAGGCTTGTTTTGGATTTTCCTCTTCTTTTTTTTTACCGGTGAGAAATGAACGGCCATGAACAGAGGAAAGAAAGTTCTCCTCGGAGAAACCAGTCGGGATAATGAGGAACTGCTGGTTTCCACGGTTACAAAGTACGTTTGCATAAAGGTTGATCGATCAAAAGGTGGCATGGAAATGAACAGGCTGGTGAGGGAGGGCGCCGCTGTAACTGAATTATTGTTGGAGTGCTGCACAGAGAAGGAGAGAGGACACGGCTCGGTTACTGTTCCCCCCCCTCCCTCGCTTAAAACTGATTAATGACAACCTGCTTTCAGTATTGGTCATAATATTTCTTCACAGTGTTACACAGTCGTTTAGCCAGAACCTGATTATTGTTATAAATTCTAAATTTGTGTTTTTTATTTCTATGTAAACACAAAACATTATGATGAATGATAAAAAAATGTTTCTAATGGCCTTTGTAAACCCAATGCAAGTGTCTAGATTACAAAATGTTTTAGTTAAATTATCTCAGTTTGATGGTATGTGTTGTGGATTTAAATGGGATTAGTTGTTGTTGTTGTTTTCTCCTGCTCCTTCTTGTCCTGCGTAGTGCTTGCTGCTCACATTCATTCAGCTCTACCAGCATCCCATAGATCGATCACAACATGCTCTCAATCCTTGTGTGATTGAGAATGACGATGAGTTTTTGCATCTTTACTTCCAGAAAACACGTCTGCAGCCGCGCATGTGTGAGAAACTTACAGGTGTAGAATTGACATGTCGATAAGTATGCCTCCATTAAGCAAGAGGCAGGGTACAGGCTGGAGAGGTCACAAGTCTATCACATATAGACAGGCATCCACATTCAAATGTTATTGTGGCAAATAACTGGGAAAGCAGATTCGACAGTGTGTGAATCAGGGGATCTACCTGGTCTATGTAGAAGGCCGTCCCGGAGCGGATCTCTCTCCTCTGTTTCAGGTCAGACTCTGTGGTGTCCCTGGACAGAGCGACATACTCTACTTCCCGTTTGGTCAACTCCTGATCAACAACAAGGGGAAAACTTCAGAACTTCAGAAACCCATGGAAGTTTTAGGGTTTTGTTGTAAAATGAAAATATGAGGAGAATTGTCATGAGCTAAAACCATAATAACATGTTTATAGGATCCAGTTATGAGAAAGGTTCATTCAAAATAAGGGTGAGACATTTCCAAAACAATCGATATTTAATCTACATCTCCAGAAGGAACAGCAAATCCTCAGGACATATCTATGATGATTGGATTATAAGATATATAGTATGATTACATTATAGGTGGAATTTAGCTTCAATTCTAAATTTTCCTTTTCTTTAAAATAAACATTTAAAATATTTCACAACAAGTCCATTCTTGGAGCAATTTTATGAGAGAAATCTTTATACCACACACGTGCGTGTTCCGTGTTTACTCACAAGGTACTGCATAGCTATGGATCGTCTCAGCGGTCCGGGGGGGCCAATGAGAAACACATCCTGGCCCAAAAGGTCTTTCTGCATGATCCATCGCAGGTGCTGAACCACTGTCTGAGGTAAGGAGTCTGAAACTAGCAAACACAAACAAACTAAAGTTTTAGTAACTTTTAGTAAGTTTTAACTGTTGCCACTGACTTCCTCTTATTTCATGCAGATATATATTTTTACAGACATCTCTAAAGAGGAAGTTACGTACTGTGTTTGACAGGAACAAGCTCAGGATTCCAGGGTGTTTTCAGTTTGTAGGAGATCTCTCCAATCGTCACCGTGTCGCCTGCAGACATCGGGGTAAACAATTCATGAGACGGTCTTTCACAGACAACTCTAGTGAAAACCAGGACGGTGCAATACCAGCTTCTATTGATATTTAACTTTTACTTGGTGTTAGCCATGGATGATACCTTTGACACAGTAACAACAGAAAAACACTGTGGTTAATATATTGCTCGCTCATGAACAGCCCTGGTTTGTGCCTCTCATGTAACTATCATTGTGAGCAGTTTGTATTGAATGTTAAATGAGCTGTTCCATAAAGTACACACAATCTGCGGACTAACGAGTCAGGTTTAAGTCGTCAAGATACTCGAGTGTGCATGCTGTTCTTAAGCAGCCTGAGAGCAGCAGTCCACTTTAAATTATGTGGGACAAGGTGGTTGGCTTAAAGTAAGACAAAGTCAGAAGACAGTCATCATAGATCTAGACAAAGTTAGGACCATTGCAATGGTCCTGGGACTTGAACGGATTAAAATGTAATGAAATATGTTGATACAACCTAACTAAATCCTGGGCACATAGTGTCCACATTCAGTTGTATTGAATACTTAAACCTGACTTGAATTATTCTGATTGATTCATTCAAGTCAGGTTTTGGACTTTAAGCCCCTGGCTTTATATAACAGGCCCCTGGTCATTGGATAAGTTTCAAATACAAACGATAGTGAGTTAGTTTAATGACTTGACGTTTGCCAATCACCTGGCTTTCACCTTTGACCTACTAGCTAGCTATGCTAATCACATACTTGTCATTTCGTTGTGCTCAACGCGCAACTAGCTAGGTTGAAAACCAGCAGTGTGTGAGCTAGAAATCACAGTTTCATTGCCGTCCAAAGTAGAGAAACAATAGCTAAGGTAAGCGCTAATTATTTATCTGGGCACTAGCATCTACCATTGACAACATGAACTCGTGTGTGACTACAGATTAGCTAAATTAGCTGTTTCAGATTGAAAACTATGTCAAACATGTCCACTGTAGTGGTACAGCTTCATACAAACGCTCAGTTTACCTGCAGATGTGTTGAGAAGTTTGACCTCATGAGTTCTCCACATCCAGCCGTCTCTCCCCAGAACAGCCCCCAAAATATTCCGCATTCTTCGGGCAGCGACGGCCGCTGCCGTGCCGCTACATAATATCTGGGTGTGCATCCTTAAACCATCTAAAACATAGTGTGAAATAAAACCCTCAAGCTATGTCCCGACCGGCCCTGTACCCATTTCATAATATATGTCGGCTCAGCTTGTAGGAGTCGGAAGATAATAACAGAGGGACAAATGGGACCGGAGCTAAAGTCTTCCGTAGTGGTTTCATTTCCTTTGAGCTTCGATGGTTCCGACCTCGTATTTACAACATTAGTAACATCGTAATGCGACTATAACAGTCGTTGGGTTGCTTTGCCATAGTGAATAAAATAGAACACTTAGAAGAATATGATTTTAATGATAATAATTCCTTGGGTACATTTATTTTTTGAACGTGTGTGCAGACTGTGTGTATGTTTGAGTAACAAAACACTTTTTTCACAATCTCATAGGCTAAAGTATGCCCCAACAAAAGTTATCGCTCCAAGAATGCGTTGATTTCATTTTAACATTTTAAACTGATTAATTTTATTATCGATCGTACAAATGTAAAAATTTATTAAAATTTCTATTAATATAATCATTTTAAAAAAAACTGTTGGGTCCCTTCTAACTCACAGCACATGATAAAATGAAGCCCCAGACTATTTGTCTTATATAGGATATCATTTTTTAACAATCAAATACAATATGATGTATTGTCTTCCTTGTTGTTGTCATGCTCCACATCTGCTACTGTTATGTTATGTTGTCTGATTATTATTATTATTGTGTTATAAGTGGCAGTTTGCTATATTCAAACACGAATAAAACATATTTTAATGTCGATTTATGTATATAGTGCAAATTTGACAACAAGTGATGCTTTACAAAAAACAACTTAAACAATTAAAAATAATTGTCAAAATAAATACACATGCTATATTTATTTGTTGACTTCAAGGAAAGTGCTCAGTGAAGGGAAATCTATCATCCATGATCTCGTGGATTAGCAAAGACAATACCTAAATCGATGACGTAATATAAACGACACACTCCCACACACACACACACACACACACACTGATTTACTCACATGCACGCCCACACATAGCGTGTACACAACCTCGAGTTTGTGCGCGTGTGATCCCCACCACCGGGCTGTGACCAAACCGTGCCGAGCAGCGCGCGTTTAAGCGGGTCTGACATTTATCACGTGGAGCGCGCCGATAGATAGGCTCGGCCCTCCAGAGAGAGAGGGGGAGAGAGAGGGAGTATAGCGCGGAGCGAAAGGACCGGAGCATGCGGGAGGAGAGCGGTGGCAGCGAAGGGGACGACAAGGCGAATTAAATCCCGTCTCTTCTGCGCGCTTATGAGTGGTGTAACGGCAGCGAGGCAGGTCGAGAGTCCCTCCACCTTTCCCTGATTCCTTTCTTTTGTCTCCCCGGAGCGGACACAGAGGTCCGGGACTATGGAGGATGTCTACCATTACACCCGCAGCCCAGCCTGGGAGGAACTGGTTAGTAACATTCAACACTGGATACTTTTTTCCCCTTTTTTTGTGTCACTCCGTTTCTCATTTCGCAACAAGTCTGCACAGAAGAACCTTATTACGATGCATTCAGGTCTAATAATGACTTCCTGAGCTTATTTTACACTTCGGAGGTGTTTCTTTCTCCGTAATATCCTGCGTTCGTGTTGCGTGTTTTCCTTCCCACTGCTGTGATTTGTATAGACTCAAAACCGTTCACATATTATTGTAGGGTGTCTTCATGTTGTAGGCAGTGTTGGTTATATATATTTATAAAAAAAAAAAAAAGAAGTCAAACGCATTGTCAATGTTCAGTAGTCTGTACATAAATGGCTCTAAAAAGATTTGTATTTAGATTTTTGGACAATTTGTGGTGACGTTTATTGTCAGGTGAGTACGGGGAAAGTCTTCTCTTCTCTAATTTGAGGGGAGATTGTTTTCACGTACCAAATGTGTTAGGCTACGCTGCCCATGTCCTTGGTGGAACCCCAATCCTACCGTTTTGCCCAATGCATTTAAAATGAATTTGGACTGCCAAGTCGAATAAATGTTGCTGCTCAGTTAAATCTAGAACATCTAGATTGTCTTTTAATTTGTTGGTGAAACAAACGACAAACTGCCCCACACACACACACACACACACACACACAGACACACACACATATATATATATATATATATATAGAGAGAGAGAGGTAGATGTCACTATAGAATAAAACAATGGATAAATAAATAGTAAATAGTGCCTAATTATTATATCATGATTACTCCCCTGAGTGTGCAGCTTTTTATTGATTTATTGTGATATTTATGTTTCGAGGTTAATTCAAACATTGTGCATTAAAAGTGTATTTGAGTAAGAAAAAATAATAATTGAAGTAGTTTAGTTGGATTACACTCCTACTTTTTTGGGGGGCTGTGCTCGGCTGCAGGGTTTGTGTGAAACAGCCGCTAGGGTCTGCCATGCCGCGGACATGTCCGCCGGTTAACGGAGTGGATGAGGCGGTCTTTAGCCTCAGTCTGAACCGGCTGGAGCCACAACCATCAACCAAGCAGGGACTGGAGAGAGGGGGGGTGTTGTGGAGCCCATCCCCACTGTACCGCGACATGCTACATCCCCTATGCGTTCACCAGCCCACACACACACGCACGCACACACGCGCGCGCACACACACTCCAGAAAAACACAGCCGTCTCCGTCGACAGTGCGAGAGATGACAGCGAAGAAAGACGCTTCCCAGCCGCTGAGCGGCTCTCGCCTCCAGGAGAGGAAGGGAGCGGCGGACCGGTTGGCGAAGGCTAACCCCGACTGGTTTTATCTCTCCCCTCGGCAGGAACCGGAGAAAGGGCCAGCGTCCGCGGCGGGGATCCATGCCCATGTGGTGGGGGCTGTCGCCGGCTCCGGAGCTGCGGACGAGTCGTCTGACAGCGAAGCGGAGCAGGAAGGCCCCCAGAAACTCATCCGGAAAGTGTCCACCTCAGGACAGATCAGGAGCAAGGTAGGACACCTCCGTCTCTTTGTCTTCCTAACTGAATATGAATGTTTGGATTTGGAGCTCCGTGTTTATCTGACCTACCTGCTGGCTGAGCCATTCAACAGTGGTGTGTGTTGTTAAGGCTTCTACTTTATCATGTGGGCTTATGCAGGACAAGACTGCAGGGCTCAGCCCACGACTTTATCTATTTTTAGATGTTGCTTGGGAAAAGAAAGTGTGAAATAGTTGAGAGAGAAAATAACAACTGCACCAAAAAGTTGTTTAAACCTGTTGCACTCTTTATAAGTTTAAGTTTAAGTGTGTAGGCTACCTACAAAGTAGAACAACTTTAGTAAGGATACAACTTATTTGATGTATTTTAGGAAAACACATAAATACATATTTCCTCCTCTTCTTCATGCAAATTGTCAGTTTTGACATGACTGCAAGTAAAGTGTATATGTGAAAGGGAGGATTTAAATCAGTTTAGATGATCAATAGTTTCACAAATAAAACAGAGAGTCCGCTGCATCCCTGCGTTTGACGTGCAGGACAGAGTAAGAGGAGGCTGCGCTAATTCTTACCTCTGACACCTTAGCTGTCTTGGCCCACTTATCTTGTACACTGTAAATGAGTGCCGTCCTCCCACACCAATAGATCCACTTAATTATTGACTGCCCCGCGCTACCCCGTCCGCATTATTCAGAATGGGGGTATATTTAGATACTTGTCCGGCCTGGAATGTCTGGCCATACCTTTCATATGCAAATCCCCCCCACCAGTGAGTGAGTGTAGTGCTTCCTAGAGGCTATGCTGCACGGCTGATAGAAATCATCAAGCAGTTTATAGTCTATAAATTGGAAAAAATAATAATGACAAATATCCACCCAAAGTTGATGGAGCCTGATTTTTAAAAAAAAAAACAACGTTTTTTTCTCACATCTGAGAGGCTAAAACCAGCAAATGTGTTGTTCTTTAACCTGATATATGATAAATAATAGATTACCAAAGCTGTGATAGACTGACAGTTACATCAGTGTTATGTTGCACTCAATCGAGAGCCAGCCTAACGGGTGATATAACATAGAAGGGTAAACACAGATCCAGCTGATCACTGTCCCCTCCTCAGCTGATGTTTGTTTTCATCGTGAGTTGACTTTTCCATGCACTCGCTCGGTGACTCTTTACTCACCTGTTGCCTCTGAAGTTTACGGCAGGAGTTTTAAAAGTGCATGAAAGCCAGGTCGATATGAGTCACGGGGAACACGCTGACTGCAGTAACGTACGTATACTGAGAGGGATGCTAATTGCGTCGGCTGGCCGAGAGCCCAGACCGACTTTATCCGTCCTGCCGAACCATAAACAGCGGGCTACATGTCACACTAGAAATACTTCATGCTGGTATCACAATAGTATGAACGCTTCCACTGTATTTGTATCGGTGTGTTTTAGCACGTTGTGCTACTAAAGGTCTCAGAGTTGTTGCTTGGGTCAGCGGGTTTTTTTTCTGTGTGTGTGTGTGTGCGGAGAGTTACTAATGGATCATGCAGGCACTGACTCACTGAGTGTTGTTCCACTGGGTTGTTTGCTCAGTGTGTGTGTGTGTGTGTGTGTGTGTGTGGACATGCATGTGTACGCTTGGCCATCACATTGTCTGTGTCCATCCCTCTCCGTCCACTATCTCTATCTAGGTCCTCTGGTTGCCACAGACAACCAAATCTTCCGTCCCTTATTGGCCGACTCCGTGGCATTTTTCCATAGAAAAAAATTTAATCGTTCACTTGAAAATTGCGCAGAAATAGGCATGCAATTTTATGAATTTCAAGATTATTTAACATTTTTTGTAAAATTCTTGAAATATGTTTTGTGATATTTTAACAGTGAAAGTCTTAGCCTCTGACAGAAGTGAACTGTAACTCCGGTGCTGTCCTTTTGTCTCTGTCTCTAGTCGGTGCAGCACATGATGCAACTGAAATCTATTTGTAGCTAACATGTCATCGTTAATAGCCACTTATAAACCCATCACGGCGAAATCAATATATTGGCAGCCGTGAATAGTTGTTGCTGTTGTTGTTGTTGTTGAACTGTTGGCGGAAGCAGAGATGAGATATTCGGTACCATTCATCCCTGCCTGATGTTCTTCTCTTGTCAGACAGAAAGTAATGGGATTTGACCGCACATGAAGGGAATTTGATGCTCTATCATTTGGCCACCAAACACTGTTGTTTCTCTCTTCCTCTATCGTGTCATGAATGCACTACACTTCTTATTGTAAAAGCATTTTAGCACAAAAACGTGTACGTAGTGCTGAAATATGTGAGGTGGAATAGTCTTTTCATAGCCTCTTCTCTCCTGTCATCTCCACTCAGCCCCCTCTCTGTGTTTTCAGGGTGTGCTGTTGCCGCCGAGGAGAGCTTATAAACTTGTGACTAATACTGTAGCTGTGTGATTGAAAGCAGAGCTGATGGCACACCGGAGCCTGCCGCTGCACAGGGGACTGGGAACAGTCAGCAAGCCTGACATGAGGTAATCCAGATCAGGTAGTTGAGGATGAGTTAGGCGGGATTTGGATGAGGCATCGTAGAGAATTTCCATCTTCGGTCCATGTGCCCCCATGCATCGGAAGAAGTGACACACTGTGACTTACATTTATGGGAAGCCAGGCAGAGATTTTGGATGAATACTCTCGGGTCTTAGCTTCGGATTGAGTCAATTGGCGGATGTTGTTTTGTGTATTTAAACTTTATTTAACCAGGAAGTCTTTTGAAATACTTGTTTGCAAGAGAGACCGGGGTCAAAATGACAGCGTTGGGTAGATAACACACTATCCACATGCTGATCACTGCCCATTTAATTTCATATATCTCAAATAGGTAAGCCTAAAAGTAGGAGGAACATGTACCCAAAGCCCTCGTCAAAGTGTTGTGGTCTCTGCCCACGCAGATGACTTGTACTTCCTATTGAGAAAGCAGAGGCAGACACTTGTTCCTCTTTTTTTTTTCCTTTTCTTAAAGCTTGCACTATACTTGCACTATAAAGACACTATACTTAAACAGGAGATTTGCCACATGATGATGGTTTGAAGGAACGAGACTTGAAGGAACACAATGCTATAAGGGGATCTCTACTTCTGCTGCAACGGCCTCGCCTACTACTTTGTCAGTCGGCCTTTCCCGCTCTCGCTTCTAGAGATATTAACTGTACATAATTACGTAGCATCATCCAGTGTGTGGCACTGAAGCGATGTAAAGTTGTGTCCTTATACTGTCCAAAGCTGTAGCTGAATCTAAATCAGGTGATTGTGGGTAAATTGCTGGCCTCAACAACATCACTTTACATCCCCTGCGCCCACTTGACACACGTATAACTAACTGCATATGTGGTCCAGTTGCACAAAGGAGATCACAGACAGGGGAATTACCCCTTCCCAACAACCGGATTGTAATTTTCCCATCTGCATGGTGAGATTTCAGCATGCGGTGGGAGTCGGAGGAGGAAGGGTACAGAGTAACAATTACACCCAACAGAGAGCACAAATATGCAAAGACAGCTACAGGAGAGGAAGAAATGGAGAGCAACACAGCGCTGGCCTATAAAAGACTTGATTGTTCTGGCTCCACAAGCACTCCAGTGTTATTCAAAAAATGACAAATGAGTCGGTAATAGAGGTATAACAGATAATAACTGCGTGGGACGATTCCGAAGACAGTGGGGCTTCTCTCAGCAGCCGGCAGTCAGCATCCACTAAAACGGAGGACAGATAAGTAAGCAGTCTTCTTTCTGGACTGACCAATTTCAGTCACAGCAGTTTAGTCTTATCAGTCATGAGTTGAAATTGCCAGACGGGGATAGCTCTTCTTCAGACAAAGCTGACGCGGATAAATATCAAAATGTCCTGCGAGACCCTGGTTCTGTATTAGTAAGAAGCTGCAGTGTTGGCAGGGAAGAAGCCCCAACATAAGCTCCCTCAGCAGCAGCATTAGTGGAGGCCTTATATATATTAAGAAACAGAGCTTTTGGTGGCAAAGACTCTTATACGTCTACCTCAGGCTGGTTGTCGTTCCAAAGGGATTTGTTTTTTGAGTTACCCCTAGAGCCAGTGTTTGGTTTGTCCATTCTGGGCTACTGTAGAAACATGGCGACTGGCTCCGTAGGTATGTATAAACGGCTCATTCTTGAATAACTAATACACAACTGTTATTTTCAGGTGATTATACACTAACGAACACATACTTATTAATATTATATTCCATTAGATCCCCATAAATGCTACACCATGTACCTTTTAAATGAATAAAGAATCAGTGCTTAATTACACATGAGTATAGGTACAAAATGTACAAAATTTCACATAGACTATTTATATATAATTACCTGAAAACGTTCTATATCGTAATATGTATTGTTATCGGGATAGAAGATTTTGGCCATACCACCCAGCCCTATGTAAGGCTGCAGCCAGTTAGCGTAGCTTAGCATAAAGACCAGAAACAGGGGGAAACAGCTCGTCTGGCTCTGCCCAAAAGTTAAGAAAATCTGCCCTACCAGCCTGTCTTGTTTATTTAATCCATACAGTTGCCTGGCAGCCTCACGGTGACCACGAGACTCCTGTAAGTCACTGCGTCTGGCCAAGAAATGGGAACATAACCCCCCAGAAAAACCACACACTTCAGTTTTTGTTTTGGATTTAATTGAGTTGACCATAAACATCCGTAAACAGAGTACAGATTTAGTACCTAGCAAGCTTTTGACTGACAGTGTCATACAGAAGAGGAATAAGTTCCCATCTGAGCTTCAACAAGAATAACATTTTCGCAATCATTCAGAACTCGTGGAACTAACATTTATGTCTAGAGCTGTGACGATTAGATGATTAATCAATTAGTCTCTCCACAGACTAACCACAGATTAACTATTTTGATAATTGGTTAATCGTCTTGAGTCATTTTTGTCATCGTAAACTGAACATCTTTGTGTTTTTCTTTTGACAAAGTAAGACATTTGAAGACGGCACCTTGAACTTC